CGACACCAGTCCCTGGCGGTGTCTGGCGATCTGGACTCTGGTTGTCCGAGCGCCCGCACGTGGGTTGGTCGATGCCTGACGGAGCGACCGTTGGTCCTGTCGCCTGTTCCTTGCGGTGCGTCTACGAGCCGGCGGTCCCGTCTTCAGTTCGCTCGCGGTGTCGTTCAACGAGAACTCCCCGCCATTTTGGCGATGCACTCCGCGTGGCGGTTCCCCCCCAGACGACGGCGCCCTGTTCTGAGCGGCGGCGAGGCCCGCCTCCTGCTAGTACCTCCTCCCGCTGTCCTCTCGTCGCCTGTCTTCTTCCCCCTGGTGCGCAATTCGCTCGTAGCCTGTTGCTGCGACCTTTGACGGCGTCCGGTTCCTCCGGCGCGCCCGCGATCAAAAAGTATCCCCACTAGTCCACTCAGAAACCTTGGCCTTCAGAGCTGACGGGAAACAGAAAACGAAATGACACATCAAAGCGAGCAAGGGGTGGCCTTGGAAGACTTCTTCGGGCCATCCCTGGGCGCCGCGTGGGGGCGATGGGGAAGAGGATGAGGATGATGATGATGATGATGATGATGAGGAGGAGGAGGAGGAGGAGGAGGGGGGGGAGGAGGAGGAGGAGGAGGAGGAGGAGGAGGAGGAGGAGGAGGAGGAGGAAGAGGAGGAGGACGAGGAGGACGAGGAGTGCAAGGAGGACGAGGACGCGGATGAGGACGAGGACGAGGAGGACGATTTCTAGGATGAGGACGACGCGGACGAGGACGCATGGAAACATCTATAAGTTATTGTGCGGTTGCTGCTGCTGCTGCTGGTGCTATCTGGGAGTTGTTGGGGCCTTCTCGGAACCCTCTAGGTAACCGTGGAAGGCTTCTTGGGATCATCTTGGAGGCCATCGGTTACAGGATGGGGGGGGGGTCCCCAACTTAGCCCCCCCCTCATCAGCCGGCAAGCCGCTTCTTGGGGCTCCCCTGGAGCGGTCTTGGGGCCGTTTGGGGCATCTTGGGCCCCATCTTGACCCAGCTTGGGCTGTTTGAGCCATCTTGGAGGTCATCTTGGGCTCTGTGAGGCCGTTCGGGGGCCTCTTGGGGGCCTCTCGGGTGCCTCTTGGGTCCCTCTTGGGACCTTTTTGGAGCCCTCTTGGGGCTCTCCTGGGAGCCCGGGTGCACCTCTTGGGGCCATCTTCGGGTCTATCGATCAAAGGACGGAGGGCCCCGATCGAGGTTCCCCCCCTCGGGGGCCACGATCCTCGTGAGGAGTGTCAAAAATTGGCCCTGCCAGGGGCCTCGAACGAGTGCTTCCGCAGCTGCGACGACTCAAGTGCTGTCGCTTGGCCCTGCGTGGGCCGCGACTGCGAACGCTTGATCCAGCTACTGCGCCAGCACTGGGTGCGCCATGGCGCTGAGCAGGCAACGGTTGCTGATCTCCGTGGGTCCAGAGGCAGTCTGCGACGACCGCGTTCGACTTTCGAATGGGGATGCAGCGGAGAGGCGCCGCACCAACGGACACGGCGGGCGTGCCGTGCACGCCGCGCGGGGGGAGCGGGATCCAATAGCCAACGAGTACAGGCAGCCGGGCGCGCGGGATACCTTGCGGCGCAACTTCGGCCGCGCGCAACCAGGTCTGCATCGACGTCGGCAGCGCCACGGTTGCGTCGACGCTGCTGGAGACGACGTGGAAGGAAGAGGTGAAAACGCGCGCGCGCAGAGTTTAGTTTTTCTGAAATCGGGGCGGCTTGTGTCGCGCGGTCAAATTTGAGCGCTGCGATCGACGGAGGCGGAAAGATGCCGAATTCGGAGGCGGATCCAGAGCCGATCAGAGCCGACCCAGAGCGGATCCAAAGCGAATTGATCGGATCCAGAGCCGATCAGAAAGGAAGAACAGAAGGAGCGCAGCGCAAATGCGTTATATATACGTAGCACACCGCAATTGCGGATGAGAGTGAGGGGCGGGCGCGGGCGACGCGGGCGTCGAGCCGGCGGACCGCCGCAGGCGACGAATTTTTGGCTTGCTCAGTGAACGTAGTTTGGGTCGCGGGTGGGTCGCGGGTTCTCCACCTCCACTTGAAAATAAGGAGAAAAACAGCCCGCCGCAGGCGCCGAACATTTTGATTTGTACACTGAACGCGGTTTGGGTTGCAGGTTCTCCACTTGGAACGAATGCAAAAGAAGCCCGCCGCAGGCGCCGAAGTGTTGGTTTGTTCAGTGAACGTAGTTTGGTCGCGGGTGGGTCGCGGGGTCTCCACCTCCACCTGGAAGGAATTGAAAAACAGCCCGCCGCAGGCGCCGAAAATTTTGATTTGTGCACTGAACGCGGTTTGGGCCGCGGGTGGGTCGCAGGTTCTCCACCTGGAACGAACGCAAAAGAAACCAGCCGCAGGCGCCGAAAATTTTGGGTGGGTCGCGGGGTGGGTCGCGGATGGGTCGCGGGTGGGTCGCGGTGGGTCGTGGGTGGGTCGCGGGCGTGGTTTGGGTCGCGGGTGGGTCGGGTGTTCTCCACCTGGAACGAATGCAACAGAAACCCGCCGCAGGCGCCGAAAATTTTGGGCGGGTCGCGGGGTGGGTCGCGGGTGGGTCGCGGGTGGGTCACGGGCGGGTCACGGGGTGGGTCGCAGAGTGTGTCGCGGGTGGGTCGCGGGATGGATCGCGGGGTGGGTCGCGGGGTGGGTCGTGGGGTGGGTCGCGGGTGGGTCGCCGGGGGGGTCCTTGGGTGGGTCGCGGGCGGGTCGCGGGGTAGGTCGCGGGTGGGTCGCAGGTGGGTCGCGGGTGGGTCGCGGGTTGGGCCGCGGATGGGTCGCCAGGTGGGTCGCGGGTGGGTCACGGGTGGGTCGCGGGGCGGGTCGCGGGCGGGTCGCGGGGCGGGTCGCGGGTGGGACGACGACGACAACAAACAACAAACAACAAACAACAAACAACAAACAACAACAACAAACAACAAACAACAAACAACAAACAACACACCACAAACAACAACAACAACAACAACAACAACAAAAAACACAAACACAACAA